TGTGTTCAAATCTCTTATCCTGCTTCTATATGGTAAGGAAAAGGCTGATGCCATAGCCTGACCTGCTACCTCCAAAGTTTGCTAAACCTCTTGGAATGACCACCATCAATCTCCCAACATTTGTTCCAAGCATTCTGGGATATTTTAGAATGACATTTGAAGTAAATAAAGCTCAGAATTCGAGTAGGAGCACTTGTCAGTTAGGGTTCATCTTGGGCACATCGGGCCTCATTGTGATTTGAAAGGGAAACAGACAAGCAGCCAGGCACTGCCCTCAGGAAAATGGCAGCGCTAGCTCTGAGCAGGATGTCAACATGGAGGAGGTTGCTGCAGTGGTGAGAGTAAGTCAACTTTCAACTACCTGGAAAATTCATGCCCACCAGAAATCTGACATTAAAGCTCCTCTCTCCTACTTCATCAAGCTGAGGATCCCAAGACTCATGGTAAGAGAGCGCTGCAGCCTGCTCTTGCTCTGGAAAACACTAAAGGCCTCTTCTCAGAGAGTGTGGGCACACTCCACTACATTGCCATAATTCAGCACAACAATACAGGTTGGTTGTATTTCACCGTAAAACAACATTACAGTTCACAAGTGCATTCCTAGAGCCTATAAATTATGGCTGTTGCAGGATAAGAATTCACAGAGATGGTGCAAGTGGGCAGTCTCTTGAGGAACACCTCTTGTTTTCTTTCTCCATGGATGCCACCAGACCTGCTGACTTTCTCCAGCAATTTCTGTTTTGTTTCAGATCTCCAGCAATCACAAGTCTGTTTCACCCGCTTGGGTACATAAGGAGTTTTAGGTTGAATTTTGTTAGGGTTATATTTAACTTGAGAGTAGAGGAGACATTGGTGTAGTGATAAAGTCACTGAACTAATAAGCTAGAGGCCCAGGCTAACAGTATGGTAACATGAGTTCAAATCCCACAACGACAGCAGTCAGGATTCAAATTCAATTAATAAATCTGGAATATAATAGTTTCATATTCATCATTACTGAAACTATCCTCAATTGTTGTTAAAAACTCATATTTCATGAATATCTCAAAGGAAAGAAATCTGCAGAGAAGTCTTAGCTGGAAATTTTGATTTTCAGAAGACTTTTGAAACTTGCACACTAGGTTACGTAATAAGATAAGAACCCATGGGGTTGGAGGTAGTATACTTAGCATGGATGGAAGATTGGTGAACTAAAAGAAGACAGTGCTGGAAAAAAAGGAGCATTTTCAGGATGGCAACCTGTAACAGGCCAATGAGCCTGATATCACTGGGAGGCAATTTATTGGAGAGGATACTGAGGGACAAGATCAACCAACATTTGAATAGTCAAGGTCTGATTATGGATAGTCAGCATGATTTGTGCATGGTGGGGGGGAGGTCATGCCTGACAAATCTTTTATAGTTTTCCAAAGAGGTAACCAAGAGGATAGATTAGGATAGGGCAGTGGATGTTGTCTATATGGAATTTAATAAGGCCTGTGACAAGGTCCCGCATGGCAGGCTAGTCATGGAGGTTAGGTCGCATGGGATCCATGGAGAGTTGGCTAATTGGATTAAAAATTGGCTCGATGTAGGAAGCAGAGGGTGATAGTTGAAGTTTATTTCTTGTGCTGGAGGCCTGTGACTAATGGTGTGCCACAGGGTTCAGTGCTGGGACCTTTGTTATTTGTTATTCACATAGATGATCTGGATGTGAATGTACAAACCATGATTAGTAAGTTTGCAGATGATACAAAATTAGGAGGTATCGTTGACAGTGAGGAAGGTTATTAAAAATTACAATGGGATCTTTATCAGATGGGGAAATGGGCTGAGGATTGGCAGATGCAATTCAATACAGATAAGTGTGAGGTGTTGCACTTTGGAAAGTCAAACCAAGGTAGGACTTATACAATAAATGGTAAGGTCCTGAGGAATGTTGTCGAACAGAGGGACCAAGGAGTACAAGTACATAGTTAGTTGAAAGCGGCGTCACAGGTGGACAGGGTGGCAAAGAAGGCATTTAGCATGCTAGCCTTCATCGGTCGAGGCATTAAGCATAGAGTTGGACATTATGTTACAGTTGTATAAGTCACTGGTGAGGCCGCACTTGGAGTATCGTGTACAGTTTTGGTCACCCTGTTAATAGGAAAGACATAGTTAAACTGGAAAGTATGCGAAGAAGATTTACAAGGCTGTTGCCAGGACTAATAGGCCTAAGTTATAGGGAGAGCTTGGCCAGGATAGGACTTTATTCCTTGGAATGTAGGAGAATGAGGGATGACCTTATTGAGGTGTATAAAATCATGAGGGACACAGAAATGATGAATGCATATAGTCTTTTTCCCAGGAATAGGGAATTGAAAACTAGAGGGCATAGGTTTAAGGTTAGAGGGGCAAAGTTTAAGAAGGATCTGAGGGGCAACTTCTTCATGCAGAGAGTGGTGTGTATATGGAATGGGCTGCCAGAGAAAGTGGTTGAGGCAGGTACAATAGCAACATTTAGAAAACATTTGGATAGGTACATGGATGGGAGGGGTATGGACCAAATGCGGGCACCATGGTCAGCATGGACCAGCTTGGGCCGAAAGACGCGTTTCCATACTGTATTACTCTATGACTTCAAATGATGTGTCACAGAGATCAGTGGTGGAGCACTGTTATTTGTCATATATATTAACAACTTGGGTGAGGAAAGTGAATGTACTATACAAAATAGCAGAACAAATCCAATCCAGCCAATTACTGCCCCATCACTCTACTCTTGATCATCGGTCTTTGTCAATGCTATTGTGCAGTACCTATTCAGCAATAATCTGCTCACTAAAGCCCAGTTTGGGTTCTGCCAGGGCCAATTAGTTCCTGACTCTTTACAGCCTTGGTTCCAACATGGACAAAAAAGCTGAATTCCAGTGATGAGGTGAGAGTGGCAGCCCTTGATATTTAACATGATTAGACAGGGTAAATGTAGGAAGAATCAGGGAGCCCAGAACAAGGTGTCATAGTCTAAGAATATGGGGTAGGCATTTTAGGAGGAATTTATTCACCCAGAGAGTGATGAGCCTGTGGAATTCTCTGCCACACGAAACTGTTCAAGTCAAAATACTGAGGTCTTCCAAGAAAGAGATAGATATAGTTTTTAGAGCTACAAGAATTAGATGATACAAGGAGAAAGTGGAAACAGAGTAGTGAGCTGGATGATGAGCCATGATCATATTCAATGGCAAAGAAGGCTTGAAGGGTTGAATGACCCATTCCTGCTCCTATATTCTATGTTTCTATCAAGGCCATATTTGACTAAATGTGGCATCAAGGAGCCCTTGTAAAACTGCAGTCAATGGGATTATGGGGAAAAATCCATGCTGATTGGTGTTATACCTGGCACACAGGAACATGGTTGTGGTTATTGGAGATTTGTCATCTCAATTTCAAGACATGTCTACAGGAATTCCTCATGGTAGATATTTTCAAATTAACCCGTTCAGAGAGATGTCATGACACACCTCTGGAGCAGATGGGACTAGAAGCTAGGCCTCCTAGCTGAAAGGTAGAGACACTATCACTACACCCCAAGAGCCCTTTCTTTAGGTTAGCATCCTAAGCCCAAACATTTTCAGCTGTTTCATCAATGACCTTCCCTCCATAATAAGGAGATCAGAAGTGGGGCTGTTCGCCAATGATTGCACAATGTTTAGCACCGTTCACAACTCCTCCAATACCAAAGAAGTATCCAAATTCATTTTAGTAAAATAAACAAGGGCAGGACTGATACCATTAATGGTAAGGCGCTGGGTAATGTTGTAGAACAGAGAGACCTAGCGGTACAGATACATAATTCTTTCAAATTTGCATCAGCAATAGACAGGGTGGTTAAAGAGGCATTTAGCACACTTGCCTTCATTGCTCAGACTTTTGAGTATAGTAGTTGGGACGTCTTGTTGAGGTTGTACAGGACATTGGTGAGGTCTCTCCTGGAGTACTGTGTGTAGATCTGGTTGCCCTGCTATAGGAAGGATATTGTTAAATTGGAGGGGGTTCAGAAAGGATTTACAACAACATTGTTGGGCATACAGGGTTTAAAAATAGGCTGGGTCATTTTTCACTGGAGTGTACAATGTTAAGGGTGACCTTGCAGAGGTTTATAAAATTATGAGGGTCATAGTTAAAGTGAATAGCAAGGGTCTTTTCCCCTAGGGTGGGTGAGTTCAAAACTAGGGGGCAAATTTTTAAGGTGAGAGGAAAAAGTTTTAGAAAAGATATGAGGGGCAACTTTTTTTTTTAAAAACGCAGTGGTTTGTGTGTGGAATGAACTGCCAGAGAAAGTGGTGGATGTGGCTACAGTTACAACATTTAAAAGACATTTGGATAAGTACATGAATAGGAAAGTTTTGGAGGGATATGAGCCAAATGCAGGCAAGTGGGATTATTTTAGTTTGGGAACATGGTTAGCATGGACTAGTTGGACCGAGCTGTATGACTCTATGACTCTAAAAGTAGCCTAGCTCCAAATTGTAACTACATTCTTCCATTGGTCAAAAGGTTCATTTTCAGGAGAGAGGGGTGGGTAATCATACCTCAAAAGTTTACATTTTGACTCGACCATCCTCTGTTATTAATTTTATATACCAAAGAGACATTATACTAAAATAGGTTTCAAGTTGACACTTTTATGTGAGAGCATAATACTCACACACTAATGATTGCTAGCTGCCTATATTTATACAATCACTAAATACTTAACTAATATATACAACACTGGTTCCTCATTCTAACTCAATTGTTAGCACTGCTGCTTCACAGTGCCAGGGATCCGGGTTCAATTCCACTCTCAGGCGACTGTGTGGAGTTTGCACATTTTCCCTATGTCTGCATGGATTTCCTCCAGGTGCTCCAGCTTTCCCCAAAAGTCCAAAGATGTGCAGGTTAAGTGGATTGGCCATGCTACATTGCCCGTAGTGTCCAGGAATGTGCAGACTAAGTGGATTAGCCATGGGAAATGCAGGGTTGCAGGGATAGGGCAGGGTAGTGGGTCTGGGTGTGATGTTCTTCAGAGGGTCGGTGTGGATTGGATGGGCCGAATGGCCTACTTCCACACTGTCGGGATTCTATTCGGTCTGAAACTTTTTCAGGCCATTTTAGACGACAACATCCACTTCCAATCACCACGTTCCAGTTATAATGTGATCAGAAAGGGGACAGTGGAGAGTTATTAAAAGGGTTGCCTGTACGAGAGAATTTGGGAGGAATGATTGGTTAAGCTCTTTAATTTGGAGTGAAAAGACTCAGGAAGATTTAATTAAGGTGAATAAAACCAACAGGGCCCAACATAAGTCTTTCCCATCCATTCATCCTTTCTGAGCAGAGAGGTCAATAATTAGAAGACAGAGAATTAAAGTGATTGGTGGGAAAGAGGAGCTTTGAGAAATGTTTTCACTAGGTAGGCAATTGAAACTTGCTGCCTGATTGGGCGGGAGAAGCAGAACTCTCCTCACATTTGAAAAGTGCTGGATTTACATTTGACTTGTGGAAACAAGGTCACAGAGCAAGAGCTGGAAAGTGAGACTGTGCTGGCACAGAGATGATGGGCCATAGGGCCTCCTCGTGTCAAGTAAATGTTCATTTCCTCCTTCTAGTTCCATCACTGAGTACATTTATAATTAAGATAAACAGAATATTGGTCTGTCAGGGAATTGAAGGATACAGGAACGGGCAAGAAGTTGGTGCGTAGACTGATGATCAGCCAGGATCATTCTGAATGGCTGAATGATATGGTCCACTCATGCTCCTCTCTTTTATTTTCTACAATACACTGTGTGTTTCCACCGAAACTGACTTACTTGACAGACATCCAGAATATTGAATGCCAGCCCAGTTATGCAAGTTATTAACTACAAGTGAAACAAACAAAGGTTGTGATTCACAGCAGAATCCAACCTCTGCAGTCAATTGTGAACTCGCTGGTGTGTCAGCAAGTGAGCTGATCGAGCAAATCTCCTCCCACACACAGAGCAGATGAACGGCCTCTCCCCGGTGTGAACACGCTGGTGGGACCGCAGATTGGATGACTGAGAAAACCCCTTACCACACTCGGAGCAAGTGAACACCTTCTCCCCTGTGTGAACCCGTTGGTGTGTTACCAGGTTGGACGATGAAGTGAAGCCCTTCCCACACATGGAGCAGGTGTACGGCCTCTCCCCAGTATGAACTCTTTGGTGTTGAATGAGGTGAGATGACTGTCTGAATCTCTTCTCACAGTGAGAGCATCCAAATGGTCTCTCATCACTGTGAACAAGCTGGTGTTTAATTAGATCTGGTGAGATTTTAAAGCAGTTCCCACAGTCAGAGCATTTAAAAGGCCTCTCATCAGTGTGAACTCGCTGGTGTAACTGAAGGCTAGATGACAAAGTGAATCCCCTTCCACACTCGGAACAGGTGAACGGTCTCTCTCCAGTGTGACTGCGCCGATGAGCTTCCAGCTGGGATGGAGAACTGAATCCCTTCCCACAGTCCGCACATTTCCATGGTTTCTCCATCGTGCCAGTGTCCTTGTGTTTCTTTATGTTGGATGATCTGTTGAAGGCTGGACCACACAGAACACCTGTACTATTTCTCCCCAGTGTGAATGCTACAATGTTGCTTCAGGATTTCCACAGTCAGTGCATTGGGGCAAACTCACTCGGCTGTGAGCCTCTCTGTGCTTTCCCAGTCGCACTGATGTTAGAAATATTTTCCCACAACCAGAACAGATAAACACTTCTCCTTCCACATTCAAAGACAGGTGTTATTCAGGCCCTGAGGAATCGAGTAGTTCTTTATCTGACTGTAGCTCTGATCATGAAGCTACGCTCAATTTGAGTTTCCTGTCTGCAAACCATGCTCTTCTAATATTCCTGTGAAAGGAATTGACAGTGTTAGTGTCATGATCAATCCAGGATAAAAGAACAGAAAGTTCCACTTTCCGTGGAACATTCTTTCCCCGCATTTCCCAAGACACGCGATCAAATGAAACTAAAAGAACCAAAAACCAGCTATCCTAACAACTATTACTATGAGTAAGAACAAAAGTAGCAGATGCATGGGAACATTCGCCCCACCTGCCAGTTCCCCTCCAAGCCGTACACAATCCTGGTTTGGAACGATACGTTCTATGCCAAGCACTAGGACCTGGTTGAGACACAACCCACCCACTCGAAACGTCAGCAGAAGACTTGCGCATGCGCTCTGTTCCCGCTGAACAAAGATGGCTGCTGTTCATCAGGGCGTTTTCCTGGTCAAAGACTCGGATCTGAAAACGCGAGACCTGCAGGTTCGTATTCAAGGAGTTAGGCCTTCCCCAAGTATTTAGGAATCCTCCCCGGCCAGCCGCCGGTTCTGTGGCTCCCTCCGCGAATCCGCATCTTTATCGGCCTCAGACCCGACAAACATCGCACACACGTCACCATCTGTCGCCATGCGCAAGCTCCAAACACTGTTCGAAGGTGCGCGTGTGCACGGCACTCCTATAATATGGATAAATGATATGCTCTATCGCATTGTATGCTGGGTATTTACACTACCATTGAGCATCCATGTTACATAACGCCGCTTGTTTTGTTACTAGATGGAAAACTCTCTGGGGGAAGTAACGTAAGGGATAGTCAATCAATTAAAGACAAATTATGCAGGAACCCAAGTGCATAGACTTTCCATTATCCATCAGGCAGAATCCAAATCTTCAGTTAAATGTGTACTTGTAGATGAGTGACTGAATTAATTTTTCCAGTGACTTGTTAAGACAGCATTCTTGAGTCTGCTTTAGTTCATCACCAATGGGGAAATCCTGGAAATAGGCTGCAGAACTGTTCTTTAACATCCATTACAGTATACGGGTGTATGCGAACATTTATTGCTATCCTTAATTGCTCATGGTTATACAACTTTTAGAACCCTTGCTATCTGTTTGGAGAGTAATTTCTCTTAGAAAATTGCCCAGCTATGTTATGTCTACAAAAAGCAGCACAAATCCAACTGACCAGTTACCACCCTGTTGGTATGACATCAGGAAAGTTGCACATGGGGTTTCTGACAGTGCCATAAAATGGCACTTGCAAAAGAATAACTCACTCACTGATACTCAGTTTGAGTTCCACCAAAACAGAGCTCTTGATCTCATTACAAACCTGGTTCAAAGATGGACAAAAACATTGACATCCTGAGGAGAGGTGAGAGGGACTGCTCCTGACATCAAAGGAATATTTGACTGAGTGTAACAAATGGCAAGTACCATTTGCACCATAAATTGCCAGGCAATAGCCACCTTCACCAAGGGAGAATCAAATTATTTTTTCTTGAAGTTCAATTATATTATCGTCACTATCAATATCCCAGGGGTTACTACTGATCAGAAACTAAACTGGACCAGCCACATAATGCTTATAACAGCAGGTCACAGACTATGAATTCTGTGGCAAATAATTCACCTCTTGACTCCTCAAAGCCTGTCCACCACCTACAAGACTCAAGTCAGGAGTGTGATGGAATACTCTCACTTGCCTGAATGGGTGCAGCTCCAACAACACTCAAGAAGTTTGAAACCATCCAAGAAAAAGCAGCCCATTCGCTTGGCACTCCATCCACCACCAAGAATAGTCACTCTCTGTTTTTTGCTGGACATTGTCTCTTCCATCGACAGGAATGTGGGGCTTCTCCACACCACAGTGTCTGAACTTTTAACTTATTCCTTTATTTTTCTAGTTTAAATTAAGAAAGACTTTAATGTTAACTATTACCTTATTTATTTTTCTACTTTTTCTATAAAGTAATGCCTAACTTTTTAACTGTTTCTTTTACTACTTTGTACCTCAGTTTTTTTGTACCTAGATACCTTGGTACCTAAGATGGCACCTTGTGTGACATGATACACTTTTCGCTGTACTCCTGTACTTTTGAACTTGAGTACATGGGCAATAAAATCTAAATCTAATCTAAAAAATATAAATGTAACACTAGACAGCATGCATTTAATGTAAGTGGGAAAGTTCAAAGGAGATGTGAGGAGCAAGTTTTTGTACAGAGAGTGGTAGGTGCCTGGAAAGCATTGCCGGTTGTGGTGGAGGCAGATACGATAGGGTCATTTAAGGGGCTTTTAGATAAGCACATGAATAAGCAAGGAATGGAGTAATATGGACCATGGGCAGACAAAAGGGGTTAGTTTAGCTTAGTGTCATGTTTGGCACAACATCCTGGGCTGAAGAACCTGTACCTGCACTACTGTTCTATGTTCTGTGTTAACATCCCAGGGAGGTTAAGGGATAATAATATCTTCATAATTCCACAAACCATCTGCTCCACTGTTTGGGAGACTCCTTTAATTTGACCGTTTATTAATAATGTCGCTAGAGAATGTGAAATGATAGAATCATTAGATTAACCGCTTACCAGTTACATAAGAGATGTAGGCGAAGGGGTAATAAATAAGGCTCTGATGAGGCTTCTGATCTCTGGTCAGGCAGGAGGTCCTAGGAAGTGGGTGTACAGGCTTCAGAAACACCTAGCATAGCCTGCAAACCCCAACTAAGAACCAGCAGGTACCACATTTATGCTTCTGGGGCTGCTTTCTTCATGGCAGCACTCATTTTCTTTCAGTGGGAGCGGGTCACCCGGATGGCTAACTTGTGGATGCAATAGAATGTAGACAGGCCTCAGGGGTCCCTGTGACCAGTAGAGAAAATGACTGACTCATTCATTTTACGCTCACTGATGCAGGAGAACTGAATCCGACCAGAGTAGAAGGAGGGAATAAACTGGAAGCGGATTCATAGAAAGAGAGTTAATGGTTCAGGTTGAAGATGATCCTTCATCAGAGTTTGGGTGCTCCCAGATTAAGTCAAGAGTCCTAGAATACTGCCAATGGAGATGAGAAACATCACCTTGAGTTTAGCGATACTGACATGCCAGAATCACAAAAAGCCCCACACCCACCTCCAGAACACTGTAATAGTATTTTTAAAAAGCATTTCATAAGATATATCTTATTCATTATCCATCCCCAAGTTTTGAATCATTAAGGGAATCCAGTGTTCAGGGGTAAAGGCAGGA